GCACCAAGTCTGGGTTGCTCAAGAAGGCATGCGTGGTGTCACCGATGCTCACCCTGTACCAACCTTGTGGGCTCTTCAGTGTGTTGTCAATGTGATGGAAGCACTTCAGAGCGCTCACATGCGCTGACACAAACACCTCTTTGCTCTCCTTAGGCTCCAAATAGATCTTTTCAAAGCCAAACAGTTGGGATAACGGGCAAGTGTAATCAGCACTAGAGAAGCCTGAGCCCGCCTCTTGCTTGAAGGAGAGGAATCCAAGGACAGACACTGCACCTGCAAGGTTGCCCGTGTTGGTGACTTTCACTCTGTACTTAGCGCCGGTCTGAGTCCCATCCTCCTCAACGAACCAATCCACTTCAGTGGTTTCGTAAGAAAACGTGGTATAGGACAGTCCATAGCCAAACGGATATACAGCTTCACCATGAAAATACCTGTAGGTTCGGCCCGGGCCATTGGTCATGCTCATGTCACTCATGGGAATCTGATCAATGAAGTCCTTCTTGTGCATTGTGTAGGGTAGACGTCCACTTGGATTGTACTTTCCAAATAGGACATCAGCAATGGCTTCTCCCCCCTTCATTCCAGGATAAAATGCTTCCAGAATGGCAACGATGTTCGGGTTCTCCTTGGCAGCAGAAATGTCCACAGAACCTCCGTTCAACAGCACCAGGACAGTCTTGGATTGGACCTTGGCAACGGCATCGATAAAACCATTTTGAACTCCTGGCAAATCAATAGTGTTCCTGTCGTGACTCTCATTCTCAATGCTACCGTCAATGCCCATGAACAAAATAGCAACATCAGCACCTTGTGCCCCCTTGACAGCTTTAGGAAAATGAGATGTGTCATTGGACTTCAAGTCACACCCTTGTATACCAACTACTTCTCCTGAGAAGGCATTCTTCAATCCTTCCAAGGGACTGGTAATATTAGGCAATGCAGCATGGTAGTTTCCGCACATGGCATCCTTGGCATCAAAATGAGGACCAACAGCAGCAATGTTTTTGATCGAGTTGGCATTGAGCGGTAAAGCATTGTTGTCGTTTTTGAGGAGGACGATTGACTCACGAGCCATCTGGAGCGCTGTCTCAACATGTTCTGGATGTCCAATCGTCTCGGAGGGGTAACTGCGGTAGGGCTGTCCCTCTGGTGGATCAAACTCGCCCAACCTGATCTTGGCTGTGAATAGCCGAATCAGAGCCTTATCCAAATCACTCTCTTGGACCATCTGTTTTTGAATGGCATCGGCCATGTGGGCCTTGTAGAAATTCCCACAGTCCAAGTCACATCCAGCTTTTAAAGATTCAGCGGCTGCCGAGGCGGGATCCTTGGTGTACTTGTGATTCTTGTAGACATCCATGACAGCATCACAATCACTAACGACATAACCATCCCAATCCCACTGATCTCGAAGAATATCCTGCAATAAGAAGGAGCTGGCACAAGCAGGAATTCCGTTCACTGCGTTGTATGCACACATGACTGACCCAGCTTTCCCCTCCTTGATGCCAGCTTCAAATGCCGGTAGATAGGTCTGGACCAAATCTTGGTCCGACACTACAGCATTGAAGGAATGGCGATCATCAGTATGCCAATTCTCAACGGAATATGCAGTATAGTGCTTGAGAGTCGCAACTGTTTTCATGTAGCGCGGATCTTCTCCCTCTTGCATGCCCTTTAGAAAGTAAACAGCATACTGGCCATTCAAGTAGGGATCTGTGCGGTTCAACGAAAGAAAGTTCTGTTGTGAGTACTAGTATGATCCAATCGAGCTGGCTGGCAATGGAACATCAAGTTCTTACCCTCTCCGGGTGTCTCCATTCCTCTACCCCAGCGACTGTTTGGTAGACAAGAAGAACAAAAAGAGAGATTGAGTAAACCAAATTTGGTAGGATGGCGAGGGCAACAAAAACTGAAATGAAAATAAAACTCACGGATCTCGGAACACATTAATATTTGGTGCCCAAAAATCAAGGCCAATAAAATGCCACTTGCTGTTTAGCTTACGCTGAGCTTCATTTTCAACATTCATGCGACGAGCTTCACTGGAAATCTGTGATGCCATTTGTTTGATGAGTGGCAAATTGAAAGTAGCACCTAGACCAATAGGCATGGGATAGCTAGTGGGGCAACGACCATCATGGGTGCTGGGAATTGCAGGAGAAGCGAATATGAGCTGCCATCGTGGTGGCATACTGTAGTGATGGTCGAAACACGCAATTTCCTTGGACTTACCAG